TGTTGTTGGTCTGAGTCTGTGTGGTAGCTCAGGAGATAGCGGGGAGGGCTCTCTGGATTCTCCTGGTACGAATCTATCCTGTAACTACAAACACTAAAACCACTGCTCAGGGTGCAGGTGAGTCTGGCAGATGCTCCAGGAGATGCAGAGAGGGAGGGCAGCTGAGTCAGCACCGACTGGGAGAGGGAACCTACAGACACACACACATGTCAATGACAAGACTGTCACAACAGTGACTATGTGCATGGGCCTTAACCACAAGACTCTGGAACAGGTTAGGGTTGCCCTGTGTCTGCAAGGCCTGTCCCTAACTGTGCAGTGAGAGAGGAGTACGAGGACGAGAGGAGTCCACGCCATGGTGGACACATCCCCTGGTCCCCACATAGCTGGACTGCCCCAGGTCTCCTATTCTTCCCGCCCATTGCCACAGGAGGGGCTCTTTATGCAAATATGTGACCATCCAGTGACTACCCAGCCCCTCCCTGAGCCCTGGACTGGGGCTCAGCTCACACAGCAGACTGAGGGGGAGGGAGGTTGGCTCCACTCCTTGGGGAGCCTTGGGAGGAAGCACCTGCTGGGACAACTCAGAGGCCTTGCTCAGGGGACTGGGCCAGTCAGAAAGGACACAGCTGCTGGGTTCACATCAGAGAAGACAGGGGCAGCACCAGGCATAGGCTTCTTGTATGAATGGTCCTGAATGGGCAGCTACGTGGGCAGTCCCACAGCGCCTCCTCCTGGTCAGAGGCATGCAGATCCCCTTGACTGAAAGTCCTGAGAGTGTCACTGGTTTCTATAGTTGGTCAGGTCTCCATGAAACACACACACACACAAACACACACACATGCACAGCCCTGCAGGTATTATCTTCAGAAAAACGTGACATTATACTTTCTCTCCTCTATTATTTAATAACCCCTCAACTGCGAGACAATTAAATTATACAAGGCAGGTGCTATGGGCAGGCCACACTGAAAGGAGGCCCTTGTCCCTGAATACCTTCCCCTTGGTTGCAGCCCTGGGGTGGGGGGAATGCAGGGTCGGTCTATGACCAACAGTCTCAATCAGCCTCTGCCTCAGGCTGCAGCCAGAGAGGCAGGGGAGGGGGTGGGCCA